ATCAGTGCTTGTCAGTTGGTTATTGTTGACTCTGAGTGGTTGTTGAAGGGTTCCCTTCGTCCTGCTGATTAAAATGGTCCTTGTGTCACCCTACAGCTGATACCCAATTCCTGTGCCACCCATGCCCTGCTGAGTGTCCTCCTCAACTGCAACAATGTCGACCTGGGCCCCACACTGAGCCGCATGAAGGATTTCACCAAAGGATTCAGCCCTGAGGTAGGGGTGGGGCATTTGGGGCTGTGCACGGGTGGCACCCGGGGAATCGGCCTCTCGCTCCCCTCTCAGGATGGTGCTCCAACGAGCTGGCTCCTTTCCAGCCCCTCCTGGCTGTGTGCTACACCACTATTGCCTCTTCTCTCTCCTCTTCCTACCTTGCCTCGCTAAGAGCCTTGGTCCCCTTATACTGGACACAGCTTCAAGCCTTCTCTCCTGTTCTTCCCTAGCCCAGATGCACTCTTAAGTATGTGATGGAAAGTCCTTTCTCCCACCTTCAGACCTGCGTTAAGTCTATGTTTCTCTCTAACTACAATTTCTTTAGAAGAAATTGTGTGTTCTTTTCATCTTGGGTTGTATCTAAATGTCAGCAGAACAGAGGGTGTGCCTGAAAGTTGCTCTCCCAGCCCTATGTGTGGATGGAAGGAGAGGGGAGCTGGTGGGTGAGGCATTTTGTTTGTTTCCTGTCACTTCTCAGTGGTTTTCCTCTTTTGCTCTTCAATGCAGAGTAAAGGCTATGCCATCGGCAACGCCCCAGAGCTGGCCAAGGCCCACAACAGCCATGCCAGGTGAGCCAGGGGGTGTCTCACAGCTCCCTTTGGCTGGAGGAGACAGACCCTCCACTGATCTCTCACCTCTCTTGCCCTGGCAGGCCGGAGCCGCGACACTTGCCGGAAAAGCAGAACGGTATCAGCGCTGTGCGAACCATGGAGGCTTTTCATTTTGTCAGTTATGTCCCCATCAAGGGAAGGCTGTTTGAGCTGGATGGGCTGAAGGTCTATCCCATTGACCATGGTAAGAGCCCATCTATCCCCACTCACTGACACAGTTGAGTAAACACCCCAGTATGTCCAAATGTGTGTCTTTTTTTTCATGGCCCCTAAGCATTGGCTGCTGTTTGTGGAGAATAACTGCAGTGGCTCCAAGATTTGTTGTGAGTTTTGACAGCTCATTTTGGAGCCTGTGTGCTGGCAACTGTGGCTAGAAGGCAATTATTTCTAAACTCATTGCATTGCTTTTTCCAGCCTTGCTGTTTTCTCCCCAGTTGCTCAGGGTCGCCAGTTCCTTCTGCAGCCCTGAAATAACCTGGTATCCCAAGCAGAATTTGTCTCCTTACTCTACACTGTGTGCTGAGGGACAAGGCCCCAGCACAGATCCCAGCAGGCTGCTCAGGTTACTCCCTTCTCATACAACTTGAGCAGTCAGTTCTGTCTTTTAGACGCTTATTTATCCCTGCTGGAACTCCTTGTCTGTCAGTTAGGCCCTTTGGTAAGGTACCCACTTCATGTACTTGGGTTACTTAAGTCCAGTGGCAGGTGGATCCCAGCAGGAGCTGGGATTTCCTTGGACTTTGTGACTCCGAGGCCTGTAAATTGCTTGTGGTCTCTAGGATTCAAAATGCAACTTTCTGCCCTGCAGAGATCTCACATTTTCATTTGGAAGGCAGAGGCAGGGGGTTTCACATAGGGGCTGACAGCCTGGTCCTTCTCCATCCTGGGCCTCTTCTTGACTTCCTCCTGGTGTGTGAGGGAGCCATGAGATTGCCTCTTGTGGGGACAGCAGGGTCTGCTCTGTGAGTCTGAAGCAGAAGCCTTAGCTTTGCTAAGCCCAGCCCTGTCTTGTTATCCCAGGTCCGTGGGCTGACGATGAAGAATGGACGGACAAAGCCAGAAGGGTCATCATGGAGCGCATCGGCTTGGCCACCGCAGGGTAACGTCCCGGGCTCTGCTGCAGCCTTCGCCCATCGCTGCTTCTCCCTTGATTATTTCTACTTGTGGACTGCAACAAGCTGTGGAAGTGGGGGTGAAGAATATTGCTTGGGGAGAGGTGCAGGTGCACTGCCTCCTTGTCTGTAATTTGCCTGCAACTTGCCTGCCTTCAGATCCCAGAGAGAAGCTGCACGCTGTCTGTGATGCAGTCCCTGAAAGTGGCCGGATTAGGTCCACAGGAGAAGGAATAGTGCTGCTGGTCCTGAGCTGGGTGTGAGGGTTTACATGCTTGGGTGTGAGGGTGACAAAGTGCTGGCACAGACTGCCCAGAGAAGTTGTGGAGTCTAAATCCTTGGGGATACTCAAAGGCCATCTGGACATGGTCCTGGGCAACCAGCTCTGGGAGACCTTGCTGGAGCAGGGGCTTGGAGCAGATGACCTCCACAGGTCCTTTCCCACTTCAACCAACTTGTGACTCTGTGAAGGGTGTTTTGTGTTGTGGCTGAAGCAACCTTGCTCTGCTTCTTCAGCCACTTTGTCTTGCTTTGGAGGGAAAACCCTCCTGTGTGTTGGCATTAAATGCCAGATGGGAGAGGTACTGCCTGGAAGGAGCCTGCAGGAGGTGTGCAGGATATGACTGCAGCTGCTGACCCCGCTTTGCTGGGAGATGGGCTTTCCACCAGCTCCTGGCTGACATCCCCTGTCCCTTCCCCAGGGAGCCGTACCATGACATCCGCTTCAACCTGATGGCCGTGGTGCCTGATCGGAGGATGAAGTATGAGTCCAAACTGCACATCCTGAAGATGAACCGCCAGACTGTGCTGGAGGCCCTGCAGCAGGTAGGACAGCCCAAGGCCTGAGGGAGTGCAAGCCTGGGGTGGGAATAGCCTCGGTTTTCAGGGCTTCTCCCTGTGCTGTGGAGGGCCCTGGATTTACGGGGTTTGGTTTTTTTGACCTTCAGAAGTGTTTTCTGGAAAGAGGAGACAACTAACCTCACAGCTTGGCCTTTTGCTGCTTTCCTGGGAGGCTGTTATCCATGCCGTTGATTGTCAGTTGATTGTACATGTGGGTGCTTGGTGGTTGGCTCACCCACACAAGTTCTGCAGTTCTCATTTGGGAGGGATATGGTTTGGGTCACCCTGGTCCAGCACTCAGTTTCTGCCTGTCATTTTCTTTCAAGCTTATCCGAGTAACTCAGCCTGAGCTGATCCAGACCCAGAAGTCTCAGGAGGCTCAGCCTCCCGAAGAGGCAAAGCCAGCCAGCAGCAAGACCGTGGCTCCAGAGAGCTCCCATGCAGGTACCACTCGTTGTTGTGGTGTTGCCAGCCTGGCCTGCTGTGTGCTTCAGGCTGGTGACCACAGCTGGCTGATTGGTAGCTGGAGGCTTCGCTTTCTTTTCTCCAAACCCAGCCCTGTGCACACTGTGCTGAGGTGTGGTAGATGCCTCTGTGCTTGGGAGAGGTGTTGGAGTGACTCAGAGCTTGAAAATGGGAGAGCTTGAGCTTGGGGATACTGGTGACAGCTGGAGGTGGAATGGGAAGGGGGTGCGATGGTCTGGTGGAGCTCTCCTGCTGCATGGGCAGGGCAAGGGGTGGCAGAGGACACTGAGTGAAAAGTGAGGGTGCTGGTTGTGAAAGGCTGCACTGTGCTTGTATGGCAGATGGCACTGATGAGCCCACCAACCAGGGCCAACCCATGGCCACGCAGAGCCCACCTAGCAAGTCCAAACCGGTGGCCAAGACATCAGTGAGCAATGTCAACGGGGCACCTCCAGCCAACCCCAACCCCATCGTGCAGAGGCTGCCAGCCTTCCTGGATAATCACAACTATGCCAAGTCCCCCATGCAGGTAGGCTGGAGCTCCAGGCCAGCAGCGTGCCTGACTTGAGCTGAGATTTTTCACTTCCAGTCCTTCCCTTCTTTCTGTACGTCTGTCAGCCTGTCCGAGCCCTTCCTCTGCCTCCCAGCCTGCCTTCCCTGGTGCTAAACCAGGCTGGGAGGTGAGAGGGTAAAGGCTGACCTGGCAAGACACCAGCATTAATGTGGGTCAACTGAGCAAGCGCAGGGAGGAGTCCTCCATCTCTCAAAAGGGGCAAGCCCCAGTGCTTGGCTAGACCAAGGACATGTCCACTGAGCTCTTCCTGCTCACCCTGCTGCCAGCTGGCCATCAGCATCCATGTTTTGCAGGAGGAGGAAGACCTTGCAGCAGGAGTGGGGCGCAGCCGGGTCCCAGTCCGACAGCACCAGCAGTACTCGGACGATGAGGATGACTACGATGATGATGAGGAGGAGGATGTTCGTAACACCAACTCAGCCATTAGGTGACAGTTTGAGTTGAGGGTGGGGGGCAGGGAGATGACATTTGCAGAATCACCATCAGCTACTCCCAGATTCCCTTCCTCAGCAGCGATAGTTGTGTTAGAGCCTGCACCAGTGTGTGCAACAAGGGCTGTTCTCCACCTGCTGCTTTACTCTTCAGTCGCTGGATTTTGCAAAGCCTTTCTGTAGCTCTTCACCATTGATGCTGAATTTTGGCTGCCATGAGTATAGCTGTGTATTTGCAGCAGGCTTTGGGGCACTGTAGTTGCCCAGTGCCACTTGCCAGGTCAGCTCCTGATGACAGTGTTGGTGTGCTCAGATTGCTGTGAAGGTCAGAGGGTGGGGTCACAGTGAGGGTGCTTTTGGGGCTTCTGGAATAAGAGCAGGGGTACGCTGCCCCTTGCATCCCCTGGCTGTGTAGAGGTACCTGCAGCTGAGCGATTCAGTGGTGTTGGGGAGCTGCCAGAGAGGCTGGTGTCAGTGGGGGTGACCTAGAAATGTTTCAGGAGCTGCTTCATCCCAGCAGACAGCCTGGAGTGCTGAGCATGGAGCTGGCAGCACCTCCTTCCACCAGCTGCTCACCTTCCCTGCTGTGTTCCTGGGCAGGTACAAAAGGAAAGGGCAGGCAAAGCAAGAGCACGTGGCCGGGGCTGCAGATGGCCAGCTCTCTGTCCTCCAGCCCAACACCATCAACGTCCTAGCTGAGAAGCTGAAGGAATCTCAAAAGGATCTTTCCATTCCCCTGTCCATCAAGACGAGCGGCGGGGGCACCGCTGTGGCAGTGGTCACCCACTCCCAGCCCTCTCCCACCCCCAGCAGGGAGAGCA